ACCCACAAGGTGGTCAGAGGGCTGAAGTACAAGATATACGAGAAAGTACTGAGGGAACTTGGCTTTATTGTTTTTTTTTCCCCCCCTCTCCTCTTTCTCTCGCAGTGACTGAGCACTGGAATGGTTTGTCCAGACAGGATGTGGAGTCTCCATCCTTGGAGCTATTCAAAAGCTGTCTGGCAGGGTTCTGGGCAGCTGCTTTAGGTAACCCTGCTTGAGTTGCAGGGTCCCTGCAGGTGACCTGAACTAGATGCTCTCGAAGTTGCTTGCAGCATTAACAGTTGAGCAGTTCTGTGACTCCTGACAGTCTGGTACTTAACCATTGAGCTTACAACTCATAGTGCCACAAGGAAAGGAATCTGAAACATTCTGAGACTGCCTAAAACTAAGCCTCTCTGATAAAGTACAGCTTTGGTCACTTGAAGCAGTCATGGATCAAAGGGAAGGAAGGTTCAATTTAGTTATTACAGTATTGGCTTACTCAGCTTGCTTATTACAGTATTTTCTCAGGAACAGGAAAGCTTTCCATATTTCTCCTCAGTCTAAAGACAATCAAGTTCCTATCTCTGCAATGTCCAATGAACACATGTTAAGATCCAGACAGTTCTGGCTGCAAGAATGAGAACTTTGACCTTCTCCCACTGCCTGGAACAGTGGGCTCTGACATCCCAGTCTGCCTTTCACCTAGTGAAAGTTGCATACTTAACTGTATTGTTGTACAGTAATTATCGAGGTTGTGACAGCAACCTAAACTGTAAACCAATGGTTAGAACAGTAGGTTTAGAGGTGGGAAGTGTGTTCAAATCCTTAATGCAGAAGCTAAAACAATGAGCATCTCAGGTGCTGAGGCACTTTGAACAATAGTTAACTGTGACAGAAGTACACCATCTGTTACCACTTCTCCTTGTAGCTGATTTACTAGAGGTAAAGAGTGAGTCAGTTCCTTGACAGTAGAGCTGAATATGCTCCATTATAGAAAAAAAATGGTTCTCCAGGATCCTAAATAAACAGGAGAACTTCAAGAGTTGCCTGATTTTTTTCCAGATTATTGCATGGAAATATTCAAGTGCCCAAATGCTACACATGAAGCAGAGATACTTGAAAAGCCTTTGGATCCACCCTTAGCCAGAAATGTACATCTGACTGGGAACTAGTCAGAAACCGGTCCAGAGTTTCACAGACATTACTCTTAGACAATTATTTATTTATTAACCAGCAAGTAGAACAGCAATAATCAAACTAGAGACTATTTTATACTATTGTGGCTAATGCAGAGAAACTGAGGTTTTATATGCAGTCTATTATTGAATGTAAAATTCACGTCATACCTTGGAACAAGCAAGTCCACCAGAGCCACCACCAATAATAATCAGGTCATAGTCATAGGGTTCTGCACCTTTGCTGTCCCCAAGAAGTTTCTGCAGTGATCCATTCTGGTAAGCCTGTTTAAAAAAATATCAAATTAATACAGATATCTGATGATCCCCACTTCGAGTCATTATTTAACTGTTTCTAAAGTCAAAAGCTCTGAGCAGCCTGATCTAGCTGAGCCTGCTTTGCAGGAGAGCCTAGACTAGACTACTTCCAGAGGTCTCTCTTAATCTAAATTATTCTGAGATTCTGAAGTTCAAAGTTCTAGAAAAGATTCAAAAGTGTTACTCATTTTGCTTGCAAAATAGCCCTTATGCCCCCAAAACATAGTTATGATCAAACTGCAAATTCAGAAGGCTACTGATGGCCTATTTCCTCAATTCCATGGCTCGTATTTAGGGCCACAAAATTTTTCTGAGAATGCTCTGGAAGTTTTGGAGGTTGCCTGCTTTGATGCAAGTTCAAGAAGAAAATAAAATATAATTACATATTTGTAATAGAAAACTTAATCTGTATGTTTTCATCCCAATAATTTAACTTACTAACAAATGAGGAAGTTGAGTTGCATGACAAGTATCTTGATCCAAAAAAACAAAACAAACACTCAAACCCCCCACCATAGCTTTGTCTACACCCAACTGATGCTTAAAGAATAGTTACCTGAAAAGTTGAATCGCATCCACCTACATGTTTCCCATTCACAAATACATTAGGAACTGTCCTCTGATTTGTTAGCTCTACCAATACTTGCTGAATACTGGCTCCATCATCTAGGAATATATATAAAAAAGATACATTATAGAACAATTTTCAGAGACCTTTTAAGGCAAGCTGAAACCCACACACTGTAAGCCCACCTTGAAAACAGTTTTATTTTAAACACCACATTTGTAGAGAATCACATTCGCAGACTAAAAATTACTTCTGAAAAGAACACACTCCAAATCCAATAAATAAAGTAGTGCTTTAAGCAAAAACCCTACAGCTTGGTGTTAACTTTGTCATTAAGCCTAGTCACCATATTCCCTGGATTCTTATTAGAGCTTCTGCCTGCCAATATGACACTTAGTATGACAAGAATTCTTGTCCTGATCATGCAGACAGCTTTTCTTTCAACTTGTTTAGCTTTGGCATAAGTTCTCTGCCAAGGTTTGCCAGTGCACACAAACTTGCCCAGAAGCCTTGTGCTATGAGAATTTGGATGCATAGAGGAAGAACTAACTTTTGCTTACCCAGATGCTAACTTATACACTTTCTGTCCCCACCACATAGTCTTCAATGTTCTAGTTTTAAAAACACACCTGACTTGACTTGTCCTTCAAACCACTAACATCTCCAGGTTCAATAGGCTCAATTTGGATTTCATAGCAGTAGTATAACAGGAGTGAAAACCTTTGAGCTGTGCATAATATATAAATTAAACTAACCATAACTCAAGTTAAGTTTTTATATAATAAGTAAGATAATATGCTTTGGATCATTAAATAAGTGCATGTTTCTAAACACTACCTAATCTCAAATACTTGAAAAGCAAAGGAAAGGCATTAGTAAAAATGTTTAAGTGCAAAAAAAGCTGGATCAGAAGTTGGAGCTCATAATTAAGAACTTGCCACCAGTGCAAGAAGATGAGTTTGAGGATTATGCTAGAAAGCACTTTTTCTTAAAATTAGATACATTATGCACATGAATCCATAATGAAGAGTATGCACATCAGAACTAGAGCATTATGGGTAAAAAAGAAAAAAAAATAGCATTCGCAACAATCAAGATATTGGAATTTACCCTTTCTTCCAAAGACTCAGCAACTTCGCTTATGAAGGTCACTCACATACTTGGTCAAACATTAACAATTCACTTAGTGCCACAAAAGACTTAACTGTTAGGAGAAACAGAGCTAGACTACAGACTTTTCCCTGAAAGACGGAAGTCAAATGTCTCTCACATCCTTTATCAGTTGATTTGTGCGGGAGTCAAAGCCTTCAGTTATGATAAAAACATTCTGTTTTAAATCCATACTAAAGTCTAATTAGTATTTTATCTATGGGTATAATATATTTAAAATAACCTCCAGGTAATTCAAGATAGCCTTAGAGTCACGCAGTTTTAGCTACACTAAGCAGTAGCTGATAGACTGTATTTTCTACTTACCAGTTATATCAAGTTCCAAAGCATAGTACTCTACACCCAAGGAATGGAAGAGTTCTTTTACCTATAACAAAAATGAATATGATTTTTCTGTACACAAGCAGATCTCCAGTGAAAAGTTTTCACAAATTTAAGGTATAGTATGTATTGCTGAAGGCAAAAATTGTTTGTTGGATGTTCTTAAATAGATAAGTTTTAAGTCACAGTGAAAATGTCAATTACAAAAGATACTTGCTTTGAGTCTGGTAATGGTACACTCTAGAACTAGTTTTAGAAGAGGAACTGTATGAATTCAACACAACAGCAACTAACTCATTTACTGGCACTGAAACTGTGAACTGCCCTTGCAGTTGGTCAACAACATTTTCCACAGAACTGCTACTGTAACAGTTGGCAGCATTTATTCCTTGTAAAGCAATGGGCAAAATCTGTTTTTGTTTATAGTTGTCTTATTGATCAGAAAGCAGTTGTAGCAAGAAGCAGTGAATAGTGCCTCTGCAGAAAAAGATAGAGTAGACACTAAATGTCTGTGTGATGGACCCTCTTGCCAGCATGGAGTCTGAAAATAAAACAATTAAAGCTGTTCCCAGTTCAGAAGAAAACCCTTTATCTTTCACAACCAGCTTTCCCAATTAACTTCGTATTTATCGACAGAACTTCACTAAGAACAAGTTGAGTTGATCAATACGCTTTGAAATTTTCAACACATGACAAAGTGTTTTTATGCTGCTGGGATCTATGCTGTTACTATGCCAAAAAATGGGTACTTCAGTGCCTTCTATTGGACTCTCACTTTATTCAAAGACAAAGCTGCTATATCTGCTACCACCTACCTGGCAATTTTATTTCCAGATCACAGAGCATCTGTAATATAATAATCTCTGCTTGTGCAACTGATAGCATTAGTTTTATAACTATAGAATAATTTAAAGTGGTTGGGAAGGACTGGTCCAACACCTTGCACAAAGCAGAGCAAAGGAAAAGAACATGTATCAAAACATGCACACTCAAGAAAGGACAAGTTTAAGACAATGCATTTAGGCATTTTTTATTCTCTGCTGCAGATGTAGAATAGGAGAAAAAAGGCAATTTACCGCAGCCCTGTGAGAAATAGCTTTCATACTTTACATGAATACTGCATGGTTGTGTTAGAGCTGAAACTGAAATAAAGTAGTGACAGGTATATACGGTCAGAGTTATGAAATCTTCAACATAGCAGAGCAAGAATAGATGACAAGTTCAGAAAAGAAAATGATCAGTGTGGGTAAAAAAGATGGTATATAGTAATCATGAATAACATTCAGAAAGTAAACAGAAAATGATTTTGGAGAAATGGTGAGCCAGAGCAAACAATAAATGAAGTTACCAGAAAAAAAAATTAAAAAGCCTTCACATAACATACAAATTATTATCACCTGACATCTCAGAGAAAAAATTATTGAAATCAAAGTGCTATTAGAGCAACTAGTAAGAGCAGAGCCCATTGATAACTTTTAACTCAGTAACACTCATCCCAGTAACATCCTCAAACTATCCTCAGTTAACAGTAACATTCTCAACCCATAAATTCCTGAGACAGACTGTTGGAGAAGAACAATGGCATTCTAGGAAATATCCTCCTTCTCCTCCAAAAAGTTTCTCAAACAAGTGTCAGGATACTAGGCTACAAGGTCACTGATCCAGACACTTATGTCTCTCTTGATGAATGCAATGGTCCTTATTTACCTACTAAACTTTTCCAGCTTTCGCAACAAAAGGTAAACACTAGAAGGTTCTCCAGTTAGTAATGGTGGAAAACTACTTTGGAACAGAGAAACTGCTCTACTGCTTTAGAAAACCCTTTCTGGAGATGCTTTCTACTGTTCAGGTAGCTAGGCAGGTTCATAAACTTCCTATGGTCAATATATGCTCCCTGTCTGATGTTTTGCCTATCAGCTAACATTCTGCAATACCTACAGATCAATTGACTGACACGTCATTATTCATCCCAGTGGATACAGAGTGTACAAATGAGAGCAAATCATAAGACTAATCAAAACCTTCTGTGCAACCACTGTTGTTACTGTTAAAATAACTTTTACACTGTTCAGACTTGGCACTTCTTTACGTTAAGAAATAAAGTGCTTTCTTTATGCATTTCTATTTTACTCAACATTAGTCGTCTTGGGGTAGTAAGAACAGTAAAAACAGTTAAGATAAACTATGGCAAGAAAGTTATTCTAACACCACTTCCTACTACTGCTTTGCTAAAGCAATTGAACAATAAATTGCCTTTGTAGAAGAACTGCTTAGTCATACCAGCTTACCTGAATTAACAGAATCATCTACTGAATTCATTTAGAGAATTTACCTGCACTATTCTTCTTCTGCAGGAAAGCACAGTATTAAATTTTCCTAGCACAGCTAGGTGCTTTTGAAATTCTTCCCCACGCCTCAAATGAGGTTGTGCTAGGGCTGAGGGTACTCTGCACAACTGCTAAAATATCATCAGCTTTTCAACTAATCCTACCAAAAGCGCTCAGCTAACCATCGTCCATGGTGAAAGGCAGAGAGAGAGCATACTCTGTAACTATCTTAGAGCTCAAAGTTATGCGGTTATGGGATAAGCACGCAGTGTAACTACACTTTCAAATTATATGTACTTCATTAATTCCACCAGCTGAGGCCCGTTAGCAAGAATATTGTGTTACCCAGTGCTCTCACTCCTTCCACTGTTTTCTAAGCCTTTGGGAGGAGGGAGAGAAACATTAATACTCAAACTGTTGCAGATATTTCGGTGTGCTTTGTCACTTGATCTCTCATGCATGGCTTTTCTCTGCTTCACAAACTTTAATCCTCCTTTTGCAACATGCTGCTGCTTCTACATGCTTTCTTCATCATATATTACCTTTCTCTCCTGTCCCAAAAAGGAAAGTAAGACAAGGAAACCTTCCCATAAGGGCAGTTATTTTTTTTTTCCTCTTCTAAATTTAGCACCTGCTCCTTATTAAAGATTCATATAGGGCCTATGAACTCTTCCTCTTAGAAATGTCTCTCTTGAGTTCACCTACTCCAGGTACTTGCTCTTATTTTCAAAGCATTCAAAATAATATTCCTCAGAGCTTACTGTTTCCAATAAGTGAATAATCCTTTCTAACAGAAAACTCTGAAAAAATTCAGGAAAATATTAATGCAGAATCTAACTAGTAGACTACAATTAAAACTATTTTCCCTAAGCTCTGTGTGTTATTCTAGCTCCTCTGCAACAACTGCACACCATGAACAGAGAGAATAGGTTATAAGCTTAAAAAAGTTACTATTCAGTGTATGCTCTCAACAAAAAAATGGACTAAATGCCATACATGTCAACAGCAGACAGATCGTGACAACTAACATCACACAGAGCAATACAGAGGAGCACAACACTAAGGTCTGCTTCTCAGCGGGCCGCTTTATAGTCCATCAACATTAAAAGAAATTACCATTTCTGTTAGCTGGACTATACTCGAGATCCCAATTCTCTAAACTTCTATTGATAAGTAAGCAAATTTTAGAAGGATACGGACTGCTTCTTACGCTTTAACTATTTGCCAAAACATCCTTAGAGAGCAGGCACTGGCTTGGCTCACCTGCTCATGAAGAAGAGTTTTCTCCCCAAAAACTCAATTTAGTTACGAATTTAGTTCTATTTTACTCACACGTTTTCTACAGCAGTGTCAGAGCACCTGCCCCCTTCCTTACTGAAACAGTGTCTAACCCACACAGGAGGGCAGCTCTAAGTATTTTCCTGGTTTTAAGTTCCATTTAAGAATACCACAACTCTATCCCACAGTTCCAATTGTGTTTTTTCCCCGCCAGAGCCACATCCTCTTTGCAAACACACAGGAATCACAATGCCCGCAGACATATGCCCAGACTCTGCGATTACAGAGCACTGATATCCAAGACCCTGCTTTTGCTTAATGTCACTGGCTCACCAGTTTCAGCTGCTCCATGAGGAACTAAAATCTAGACAGACAGACAAACCCAATCAGAGCTGAAAAGACTTTTTTTCTCCTCTTATCCTAAGTCAAACTTATTTTTCCAAAGTGTTATGGCTACAACTTAGAATAATTTTCTTGTTATTTAGCCAGCCTTTGGCCTCAAATTTCAAAAACAACAGAGAGGGTAACTCACAATCTTCTCAGTACTTTGCCCAAGTTGGTCATCATCAGGTGCTGGCACTTTGAAGGGGACGGCACGACGGGCAGCACCCCGACCTCCAGGGCACAGAAGCAGCCGGCAGGGCGAGCACCCAGTAATTGCCAGGGACCTTCTTTGGGGGCCTTGTCTCTTTCTAAGACCAATAAGGGGCTTTTCCAAGGGAATTTCGCATCCTGGTGACGTCCCCTTCAAGCCCAGCCGCCCTGCGGCGCCTTCAGGGCAAGTCCTCGCCCGGGGGCCCGGCCAGGCCTCCCGCCGAGAGGCCCTTCCGCCGCCGCCCCCTCCTCTCTCCCCGGGACCAGCGGGAGCGCCGCG